GATTACTGTTCGATAAACTCTCTGGAATATCACAGAGTAAATGTGTACAGCAACACTGTCTTTATGATATGGCTCCTTTGATAATATGGATGGCAAAGGTCAATGTTGTGTGTTGCAGACTGCAGGAGTTCAGTAAACGAGGGAAGACATTATACTAGCAATGAAACAAGATTAACTGCTATGTTTTTATTTACCCCTTCTGAGCTACAAAATCAAACCTGGGTTTGATTAGAAAGTCAGAATATTCATGCTTACACCTCTGCTGACCTCATGAACATTCCTTCACTTGTCAATATATGTCTCTTTTATAAAGGTTTAAGAATAATAATAAAAAAAATTCCACTGGACAGTTTTTAAATATATTTTATTTAATGCATATATAAAATCTAAGGAACACTTTCTGTTTTCATTAACTGCAAAATGCTTGATGAATCAGTCTCTGGTGGATGTTCTATTTCCCGTTTCAAATACGTTCAAGGAACTTAATTCCCACTGCCGTAACAGCAAATGCATTTGTCTTTCCAGTATGTTATTTTTAAATTAGCATGGTTTCAGATCATTATACGAGACATTTTTAACTTTTGTTTATTATACAATAGTATAGAAAATAGTTTCAATTCAGGACTACAATTTTATAGTTTTCATAGTTTTAATTACGAACGCGATCCATTTTCTGTTGTTCGCTGTACATTCTATATTACACAGGCGATGTTACCGGGCGCGCTCTCTCTCATGTTAGGCATGTCAATGTTTAATAGTATTTCTTTGTAAATGTAAATGAGGGTATCTGAGCACCACCCCCTTTGACTTACTGAGTGTCCCTTTTCAATCACCGCCGATTACGCTAAATTTGCCGAGGACCGCCCCTCCCCTCGAAAAGGCTTATCTTGCACCCCTTGGAAAAGATGCCTATACTTCGTTAGCAAATTAAATATTGGGGGGAGGGGAACCCCCCCGGTTCCTACGCCCCTGGTAACAAGTAGTGGAAATATTTATTTAAATCGCAAAATCCAAAGCTAAACTAAAAAACATGCCCATAAATGCTTGCAGTTCTGCATATTTTACTTGATTAAATATATAGAGGCCCGATCATTCAACGCTGCAGTGCCACGCGGGAAAACGCGCATGTTTGCGTGGTTAGATCAGAAATGTGCTGTTGTGCTAAAACCCGATAAAAATGTAATTGAGTCTGTGCTGAGATTTTGTCGCCAAGTGAATTGTTATGGGACTGACCCACGCTATGATTCCTGGTTCCGCTATTGGAATTAAAGGATTTAAATCAAGTCAATATACAAGGTGAGCCAGAAGTAGGTATACAGTTTTTATTTTACAAAGTAAAGGTTTTATTTCACAAACTAAAGTTTTTATTTTACAAAGTCTTTTGTTTTTAAAAGTATATATACTGTATGTGCACAGTTTTCACGGTATGTCACAGTGTCAGGGACAGGCTCCAGGAAAATCAACGCGAAAACCTAAGAGACTTAACATGACCCATCATGTATTATTAGAGATCAGGTGCATTTCTGAAATGTGGTGAATGATAACGCTGCTGTAGTTGTGTAATCATTTCTGGCTTAAAAATGTTTCAGTCTAATTCGAAGAAAGTTTAGTGTGTGAGTATCCGGACTGTCCTTGTGTGATTGGCAGGGAGAACAGCTATATTCGGTGCAGGAAACACGTAATGCAATATGGCGTGACGGAGCTGTCCTATTGCTGCAGGTAGCACGAAATTATGGCTCATTCGCAATAAATCTGGTAATAAAGGTGTGACCTATGACCAGTGTTTCAACCTTCACTAGAGTGGGAAGAGATGTTGCAATGCACATATTTTAGGTGTGGAAGCTGAGGTCAGAAGCATAGAAACACAATCTCGAAAGAATGCAATATTACAGGTAGGTATCACTGAAGTTATGTCATGACACTGAATTGTGTGTGTGTGTGTGTGTGTTGTTGTTGCTATAGAGAGAGTATGACAAATAGCGTTGTAATGTGCTGTTATTTTTAAATGGATACCTGCAGTCTGCTGAACCGCACTCCTGCATAGTAAGGCAGTGACACTGCCTGAATAGAACTGGGTGTGTCTGAAATAGGTGGAGAAACCCATATGTTTTTTTTCCTTTCTGCATGCACAGATGACAGCTTTTTGTTGGCTGGAATGATGTCTTACCACCTGTGGCTGCCATTTAAGACAATGGCAGGGGCTGAACCAGCAACACTTATTGTTTGAACTTAAGGTGTTTCTTGCCCTTCACATTCTGCCAGCCTCATTTCTGTTCCAACAAAAACATTATTGCAATACACCGTTGAGGTTCTATTTGAGACGAAACTTATTCATTACAATTTAAAAACAATCTATATATTTTGAATTTTGAATGCTAAATTATTCATATTCATATTCTGTAAATAACCTCCGGCATGACAGCAAACTACCTCAATTTTCAAATAGTCAATTTCAAATATTTTTTCACTCACTTTCCTTTAATGGTAGCATTTGATGACTGTATGGTATGCATATTTTGAATTGCAAATTTGCAGAATAATTTAATGTCTGTTCTTCAGATTTGGGTATAGCCCCTATGTATAGCCTTTGGCGGTTAAAGTTTCTGGGTGTGAAATGCCAGGGGCTGTGTATGTGTGTGTGTGTGTGTGTGTGTGCGCGTGTGTGTGTGTGTGTGTGTGTGTGTGTGTGTGTGTGTGTCTGTGTGTCTGTGTGTGTGCGTCCTGTGCGTGTCTCTGTGTGCTGCTTTGCATAGCCCTGGGCGGGGGCTCACTATCTATCATCGCTACTCCCCAAGCCTTCACTCTCAGTCTTGTCCTCAGTTTTGTTTTTTCCGATGCCCCTCCCCTCCGGCTCTGACCCACCTCCAGCTCCGATCGTCTTTACTTTATGTACATAGAAGCCTATCCCGTATTTGCCAGCCAGTTACTGAGTGAGCATTTCCCCCTTCTGAGGCTTGTGGAGAGCCGGGATTGACAGGAGCGCGGTTTATGTCCTGCGTCTGATCTGCATGGTATTGGCACCGAAGTTGCTATAAGGTAAGTCTCCTAAATTATGGCAGAGCAAGCAAACTTCAAAACCTTCCTTCACCTCGGTGTTTTCTAGTTAGAATAACTTTATAATTAGAATAACGTCTGTCACTATCAGAATTTCTGTTCCTCTTGAACAATGAAATTTGTCTTTTTAATAACATATAAGGCAAGATATCATTATATCTTGGGGTTGTAGTCTTTTTTAAGAACAGAAGATAATTTACTGAGGTGATTTTCGACATCATATCCCATGTGGCAGGCCTATACACAGAAGGTTATTCGCAAAACAATATTCACAATACCGATTTTGTCTTCAGGTACAGCTTTAATTCATTTTAGTGCTTGCTTCTTACACAGCACGGAATAGGTTCCCATGAAGCAACATGGTATGTTGATTAACCTGTCCAGCTCTCTCGCAGGTGTGTCTTTAAGTGAGATTAGAGGAACAGAGGCCCTCGGGTCTGGTCGAGTTTTGTTTGACTTTAGGAGCATTGTTATCATACAGTTACAATGCATTTTACTGTGGAGACAAAGGGATGAATTGTATGCATGTGAGACTTTACTTTATCATTGACCGAATTGCTGTTATTGTGACATGGTGAATTACTGCAGTGTTCCTGTTTTTTTGCTCGAACTATTAATTCGTCTGGCCAGTGAAACCAGCTCAGTCAGGCAGTAAAGTATTTGCTACTCTGTCACAAACACTGTGCTACACCCTCCCATTTTTTAGTAACACTGTGGAATATACAGGTACACAGAGTTCCAATTCTAAGAACCAGAGTGAACAAACATGTCAAACGTTTCAAAGTAATTTCTTGATTTATGTCATGGGATTCCAGACTGTCCGCGGGACAATAACAAGGCAATATAATTGTTGTCATATATATGACAATAAAATGAATCATTTTAATGTGAGTTTCTGTACTGGCAGTGTTAATATTTTGTGTAGTTTGCCAGGTGAATCTGATTGGTACGTTAGCAAGTCCTTCACAGAGGTTCAGCTGCTTCACAGGCATAGAAAGTAAAGATGCTTCACTTATCTCCTTCGTCTGTGCGTATTTGCATTTGAAAATTTGTGTGAATTTCAGTGTGACAGAAATATATGTCAAGAAACCCCATACAGTTCAGCAGCATTGTCTATTTTAGTGGTTTCAGCTTTTATGTATTTTGTAATAAAGTCACTGTCGAAATGGCTAGAGAATTTCTAACTGGGTGTTTTATTTGATGTTGATAGAGTTTTATAGGATTAGCATTAGATATATAGGTGCCTTTGCAATGTGTTATATATTTGATACTGGATATTTAATTCAGTTTCAGCAGACTTTTAACTTTATTTTGGTATAGTGCTGACCCTCCATATCGGTTGGAAATCATATGTCACAGAACGAGTACAAATACTTTCTCTGAATGCCACCCTGTAACCCATAATGGCACTTGCGGAAAATATGAAGTTAAAATATGTGCTTAAAAATTAAGGGACATATTTACATGCAAATTAAGAAATATATTCCCATATATTTTAAAACCACTGTGAAGTCACATTGAAGATTCTTGACTTTGCTTTATAATTGTATTTTTTCCCCTTTAATGAGCTAATGAAAGGCATATATGAGACGGCGACATTCATGTGAAATACGGCAGTATGATACACTACACCGTTTGTCTCTCTCTCTCTCTGCTCTACGTTCCTGTTGTGCTTTTTTGGACAGAAAACATCTATTTGCATTTTTGGTGTGACGCTCAATGGCTGCATAGGAATGACAAAATGTTCTTTTTTGGCTCCTACTGTCAGCATGCCATTAGATGGTGTAACAGGTTAGCGTGTGAAACAGGTGATAATTTCTGCCCTGGGTACAAACGTTTAACCATAAAAGGCAGCTTTGCCAGTGCCCTACGACTGCCTGGGCTGGTAATGACAGGCCTCTCCCTGATCGTCTATGAATAGCTGCCGTCCTCGCTGATAAGGAGGAGCTAGGGACTTGGAAAGAGGTGGGTGTAACTGGAATGTCTTCAGTTTGTTCTATGGCTAGTGACGAGGCATATTTTTATAGATGAGCAAGTCTTTTTAATAATAATAGTAATAATAATAATCATCATCCTTTTAATAAATCATTTTGACAAGTAGGATTGTATGTTGAGTTTTCTGTAGAATCTGACAGATAAGAAACTCACTGATGATCTTCGGCTGTCAGTATAGGTTCCTTAACTGGTCTGCGAGAAGCATCTTAAGGCATGTTACTGGTCCTATTCAGCACTTCTGGACTGTCTATGGATCTTGGACCTTGAAGGTGTGATCCGTTTGTGGATTATAAGGCAGGTGTACCATGGATGGAACATATGAATTAATTCAATCGATGGTGAAATTAATACTGGGGATATTTGTTTCCTAATTTTTAGACTGTGCTTGTTTTATAATACACATGCACTCATCTTTCACAGCAAAGCAAAACAAGCAATTTGTTTTAATTTGATCTGGTATGTAATTTCTTTTAGTTGTATTATTTCGATGGGTGGATCAAAGTTATTTGCTTTGGCTTGATACTGAGAAGGTGCCAGACATTGTTCTTTTGGATCTGACAAGAAAAACATTCCCTTACGGCCTCCAGCTTCGTGGTTTCCTTTCCATTCAGAGTGGAGACAGGTTATGTCGACGGGACCCGTCACAAAGGGCACACCTGAAATGAACCCCATGATCAGTAAAGACTGTGGTCACAGGTAGATTCTGACCACCTCCCATTTTGTCTACAGGCATCACATTGACAGCTATCATGTCACGGGGAATGATTTCATATTACAATCACCACAAGACAACAACTTTGGCCAATTGGCTGGCGTGAAATTTTCTATCAAAGACAGGTCTGCGTGCACATTTACTTGTATGTAACAGTTTCATTAACTTGTAAATAGTCTGTAGGGTTTGCAAACCACCCCAATGCTTTTTATGCAGCTTATTTTAGTTTTATAATGGAATAATACGAAAATGCCGTAAGATTTCTTGCGCGTACGCGAGAGTCTGAAAGACACACCAGATGTGTGAGAATTGGCAACTCTGTTACTCGAGCAAACAGCTGATTATTACCAACCCCACTATGGCATGGGGTGGCACGACGCTCCTTCAGGGGTGAGCGATGCTGCTTTCCACCTGCAGAGTTGATCGTTTGAATCTTGCCTCTGCTTGTTGAGTTTGCTTGATCTCCTTGTGTTGTGCATGTTTACTGTAGGCACTTTATTTTCTTCTCGCAGTCCAGTGATGCACACACGAGTTAATTTTCATCTCACATATCGCTCATTACACATGTACACGGGGGGGGGGAGGTTCTGAATGCCCCTTATTGGTGTGTGTACATGTGTGCATGCCTTGCGATGCTCTGGCCTGCCCTCCAGAACATACCCTGGCCTTGCGTCGTATATTTCCTGAGGTAACCTGTTTTGTTGTCTGTGACGCTCAGAACGCAAGCTGTTATTTCGGAGGTAATTGACTATGAACTATTTAGGAATAATTCATTAACTAAAGTGAAAGGTTGGATTCCTAACATATCTTTTGCTGTGATGTAAATCTAAGGGTGGGTTTATGACAGCATGAAAGGAAAATAAGCTTTAATAGCAGTTAATATATTAACAATTTCACTAGATCAGACTGCTTTTTATAAAATATGATGGATAGACTTTGTAATAATTATTTAGTTGCTATCAGTCCATAAATAATAAATTATAACAGGCGTAAAGTGCTGAATTGACCTATTATGTGTCTATCATAGTTGTCAATAAAGATTACAATCTGATCATTTTTGTCTGTTGTTCTCAGAGAGCTGGTGGAGATAGAGAAGCTTTTACCCTCCTGAATTCCGTAAGGTAACAAGTACTGTGATAGGTTGAGAAAATGTTGTGACTTGATAATTTACTTATATAATTTTTCCAAATTAACCAAGCCCTCCTCAATATCCAAAGCGTTCCTCGGCACGGTGGATTACTGGCCACGGAGCGAATGGGAGTTGAGAACTCCTGCTGCATGTTACTAAATGAATAATGCCCTCTAGTGGAGAGTTGCTGTCAATGTTTCTTCAGTGGTGTGAGCTAGAGGTGATCAGCAGAGTGTTAATACTATAAGTTACTACGTAGTACATAGTATATAGTTCCATACGTACCAGAAACAATCTACTGCATCTGTACTCTCAGTTAAAGTCTGTTGTTAACATGTTTGCTAATAGATCTGTTCTCAGTAGTCAAATATTAATATTAATTTAGAATTCTCCTGTTGCCTTTTCCTCTAAAACACTTGTTATGTACATTTATCTCCCGACCAAAGAGACCGTTCTGCAGAATTCATGACTCTTGCCCTCGTGTGTGGGGCACCGCTGGTGAATCATACTGGCTTCTGTGTGTTTCCTTGGCTCGTGCCACATTCATGCAGTACTCTACATTCCACACTCTCCCGTAAATGAACATGAAAGCTATTTCTCATGGTTTGTCCACGATGTCTGCAGGGGCATGCAGGCGTCTGAGGGCCCCAGACCAGTGCCAGTGTCGCTGCGGCCGCTCGTTTGGCTCAGCCTCTCCAGCAAGGTGTGCCAGTGACTGTGTTTGCTGGCCTCGCTCAGTTTCGCGTGTCCTCCTCGCCCCCAGGCTGCGAGGCGGAGCTGGCATCCAGGATGGCGGAAAACAAGAACGCGCTCCAGTACCGGCGCTCGCTGACGGTCGAGCCCAAGGCCAGCACCCAGTTCAACCAGTTCCTCCCCGGCAAGGACAAGTCACTGGGCTACGTTCCGGCACCACTGAGAAAGAAACGCATTGAGCAAAATGAAGAGAACCGGAGGAGTTGGGGCAATGCTTTGGATTCCGAAGAGGAGAAGCCATTCTCCAGGTGCCCCCATCTGCCTGATTAATTTAGACTTTAACAATCATCTTATTGTTTTACTTCAATGTACCAGTAACACACACACACACAACTCAGTACAAACAGAAAATGCGATTCCGCATTTTGTCTGCTGCCTTTGCCGTGGGATTAATAATCTTGCTCCATGTTTGCTTATTTGCACCGTATTGTGTAACACCTGTCTGTCTGAAACCCCAGGTTCTGTGACGCAATAATTACTGCAGAACATTTTACTGTCCTATTCACTAAGGTTGATTCGGCTATTTTTTAATGAAATACACAAGCAAACCTCATTGTGTCTTGTTTGTATGAAATTTACTCTGCCTTGCAGCATAGTGACAGAATAGCTCTACCGGAGATCCTTGTACTTCTGTGTTTTAGTGTCTTCAATTCGTTGGGAGAATAGAATAGCTTTCCCTAGCAAGTGGAATCTGTCCCTTGGACAGGCGTACCTTTTCCTCAGCTTCCGCTAGCGCAGTGGTTCCCAACCCGGTCCTTGGGGAACGCCAGCCAGTCCACATTTTTGCTCCCTCCCAGCTCCCTGCCAGCCAGTTCACATTTTTGCTCCCTCCCAGCTCCCTGCCAGCCAGTCCACATTTTTGCTCCCTCCCAGCTCCCTGCCAGACAGTCCACACTTTTGCAAAATCGTGGACTGTCTTTGCCCCCCCGAGGACCAGATTGGGAACCACTGGCCTCGCAGGACAGAGCTGGATAATGTGTCATTTCCAGGAACTGTGTCTCTCATGAGGACTAACAGAAAGTCTCCCAGTGATAATAAGCTACATCCCATCAGAAGTTCTTGCCTATGATTTTGACACCTGATACAGGCAAATCTAAATGCTTGAATCCCAGCATCAGCTGTTGTAGAAGAGTATGCAGGGTTTCCGGTTTGCCTGAAATTGGTGGTAGCATGGGGGTGTCACCATTCACACTTTAACAGTCCCAGATCCAACAGTTTGCTCAGAAAATGGGCCCCCACCGCCTTTCTGAGACTTGTGTTTTTGTAAGTGCTGAGGAGTGAGATTCAGGTGTCTTCTGAATATATGTTGCAAACAGGTCATGAAGGAGAACTATTCCAATATATTTCACCATTTACATCATCCAACTACATTAAAAAGTTTTTATTCCATCAAAATGGGAATAGTGCATTTTTATGTTGCTATACAATATTTTTTGTATCTGTCTTTTATTTTTAAGAGCAGGTTTGGTCTGTTTCTTTGGTGGCTTCCTCGTGGTCCCTGATACATCTCCAAGGGTGTAGCAGTGTTTTTTCTGCTGGCTACCAAAAGCTGGTTAACTGATTTGATTTTTTAAGGAGATATTTTGCTTCTTTTTGGACCTGAGGTCTGATTCTTTAGGGCTTTTGGAAACAGCCGCTGAATTTACACCTGCAGCAGCATGGATTTTATCTTCCCTTCCCTTCTTTAACCCAGTAAATGCAGTGGCGCTGCAGGGGAGCTTCTGAGAGACCTAATACCATGTATATAATGACCCAAGGCGACATTCTGTCTGGGGGCCCAGGATTTCGAACTACACCCCTGCTGTCATGTCAGTAAACAGTTATGTTAAGTGCTCTAGATTTCAAGAAATTAATTGAAAAATGTTATGCAGCCTTCTGATTAAAAACCATTTTGAGGTATTGTGGGAATATTTGGTAATAGGACAATGGAGCCAAACCACATGACCCTGGATCTGAGCAGACAATGGCAAGTCTGTCTTCAGGAGGGACACTATGAGCTGCGAAAGGCTTTGTAAACTAAAGTTTCAATTAAGAGGACCTGGATTTCACTTAAGCACTGAGTTCTTGTGCTGATTGGTCAGTCTCCTATAATCATGCATGTGTCACTAACGTTAATGTGAAACAGCTGGATGAGTCTTTCAATCAAGGAAACAAACCAGTCATAGCGGAAGAAGAAGTGAACTATTTAGCCAAACATAGGAGCCTTTCAGTTTGAAAGTAGATTGTAAAACCTGAAGTAGCTCACAGTGCCCGACACGGGTTAGGTGCCCCACCCCCTTGAAAGGATCAATATAATGCCAAGAAGCACAAGATTAAAAAATGAAAAATGTTTAATAATTAATTGAAAAGAAGAAGAGTTCAGAACCTGGGTTGAGGATTGATAACATCAGGTGATATTTGCTGTCAGCCCACGTGGGCTGATCAGCGGAATAGTCACCAGTATCCCCCCCCAAACATGCTGTCTGCTGAATAATTATGTTTCTGAGTGATGCTTTTGGCTCGCTTCTTATAAATGATTTAGCACATGCTGTATATGTGATATGAAGCGGATGAATATTATAGTTACAGTGAAGTGCAAGTTGTGTGAATGTGCTCATATTTTAGTTACAATGACTCAGATCTGACTGATCCTTGCTGGCCTCGAGCTGAAGGTGTATTATGTTGGAAGAAGGTGCAGAGTAACTGGAATCAACCATGACCATGGCTTGCTGGTATCATGAAGGACATAGAAATCATCTACCCATCTTAAAAACGCCTTATTCTGGACTGGTTATTGGAGGGTTAGAGCCTACCGTAGAAATCATTGGATGCAAGCTTGCGGTACTTTCTGATCAGGACAGGCAGACAAATTTTACACACACAGACATACACACACATATGTTTGTGTTCATATCTCTATGAGGACCATCCTTTCATGGTTTTTCAGAGAAAAACCCTAATCCCAACAATGACAACCTTAACCCCTACCCAGCCCTCACCTTAACCATAAGTAACCAAACAAAATACAGGACTTTTGGCATTTTTAGTTTTTTGATTGCAGTTACATATTTTTATAAATTCAGTTTCTGTGGGACCAAAAAATGGTCCCCACGACGTCAAAGCAATCACATTGTAGGGGATAAATCTCTTCATAATGTGATAAAATCCTATTATTTTGATGCTGTGGGGACCATTTTTGTTTATAAATGCAATATAGACATAACCAAAATGTAATGCATACATAAACACACACACACACACACACACACACATATAAACAGGGGAAAGGAATTATGAATTATGAAAGTGGAATGCCCAGTGGTCACCAAAGTGTTTTCATCACGTAAGTATGACTGGGGATGACACAAGTAGTGATGATTACTCATTTCATAACCCATAATATGTCATCTGCTTCTTTCTGGGTTGGCAAATCTATATCCATTAACACATGTAATAAAATAAATAGCATTTTAAGTCATCTGCTGACCAATCCTTAATGGATTGGTAACACGAAAGTACATATTATTTTATTACTATTGCTAAGGTTTTCATAGGCTTAATGGTTAAATGGATTGTTTGTAATTGATACTAAAAAAAATGCGAGCAACATGGGCTTTTTTCCTACTACATGTGCTACTACTGTGATGTTAAAGCTGAGTTATTTCTGTAGTACTAGGGGAAAGCGTGCCCAACCTGGTCCTCGGGGGCCCACAGACAGTCCACCGGGAGCTGGGAGGGACTGTCTCGAGGTCCCCAAGAACCGGGTTGGGCAAACACTGCTATGGAACCAGTAACCGATGAGGTTCTGCACAGTTATGAAGATGTTCCGCTTTGCTGTTCTTGACCTCTTAACATCTTCTTGTTTCGTGGATCCAACAGGAGCAAGTCCTTGAGTGACATCGTTGAGGACCCCACCATTTTGCGGCAGGTCAGCTTTGAAGCGCTGCAGGAGATGCGCGGCAAGATCAAGGACAATGAGGACAAGTGGCAAGATGTGAGGTTTTCCTCTGCAAACGCTATGTAGCATATACAGCGCTGTGCAGAAATTTTAGGCAGTCAAAGAAATGATGTTTAAATGATCTTCAAAACTATGACATTATGTCTGTCAAAGCGTGTCAGCTCAGCCATTTCGAAACCTCTGCTAAAGTCACCCCAGTATTTGCAGCAACCGTCCAATACACCCATGTGTTTGTTGACTTGACCGCTACCCCACCTTGTTTGGTTACTCAATACCTTATTAGGTTCTTGAATGAAATAAGTCAATTCATGTCCTCCTTTCTTAGGATCTGACTAAATGGAAGAACCGACGCAGAAGTGTCAATTCTGACATCGTAAAGAAGAAGGAGGAACGTGAGCAGATTGAGCAACTCACCAGTGGGCAGGGAACCCGGACTTACAAGACCTTCAGCGACATGCAGGAGGAGAGGTACAGTCACACTGATTTATATGTGGTTTACTGTATTTTTGTAGCGTGAATCTTAATGGTACGGCTACTGCAGTGTACATTTTTTTATTCATGTTGAATTTGAAGCTTCAGCCTGTTTTTTGATTGTCTTGTGACTTTAGCACATTAGAACATTTAAGTCAAATGGTCATATGTGATTTTGTGCATGAGATGGTACAGGACAAAAAAATTATCATGAAGATCAAAGAAAAACATAATTCTATTTAAATATTCTCAGATATGTGTATGTGGAAGAGATACGGGAAAAGTAGTTAATGTCTGGATCACTAGTGTCTTTCCGCTGATCATGGATATACCCATTTCTTTCTTTCTTTTTCATCACAAAGAGGGAGCAGAAGACTGATTGATGATAGCAGTGACCAGTTTCCTAAACTCAGAAATCCTCTGGCCCGCAGTTACACTGTGGACAGTTCCTATGCCTCTGCAAACATCTCCCAGTCTGTGCCCCAGTCTGTGCCCCAGTCTGTGCCCCAGTCTGTGCCTGACGTACAGAAATGGGCTAGACACTCATCAGGAGGTTCCAGTGCCCTCTTGGAGAATGCCGATGCCCCGTTTGGGCAGGAGGAAAACAGACGTGCTCCAGCAAAGTCCTTGGACCTTCCAAAGATATCTGCCCCTGTGCATTTGTCCTCAGCCGGGGAAGAGAAACTCACTGGAGGAATACCTAAGAGAGCTACTCCCACCAAGTTGTCCCCTTCCCCGTTTTCCGCCTGGGCCGACTCCAGCACCATCAAGAATACCAACTCTGACCATTCCAGCTGGACCAACAGCTCATTTGAAGAGAAGAGCAATGAGAGCAAATCTGACAAGCCGTCAGAAGTACGGAACAGTTACTACAAAGACAGTTCGACAGACGGAAAAGCAGGAGTCTCTCAGGTCACTGCATCCCTCCCCAGGAGCTACCAGCGGTCCGACAGCCTGCGGATCACATCTGTGGTTGCTCCCAGGCCTTTTGGGAGCCCGTCCAGCAAAGTTTCCTACATGCCAAGATCCTACACTGTAAGTGTGTTTATTCAGTCATATTCAGTCATATTCAGTCAGGCTCCAGGGATGAACCTTTCAAACAGGACTTGGAAAAATCAAAGACCTACTTCTTGTCCCATCTTCCATGAAACATTGTGTCTCCTTGCTTGATCATTATGACTATTGCATAGTTTTTTTTATTGTTATTATTATTTATGGCTAAACTTAAATTAAAGACTATATTACATATAAATAATTCTATGTGACAAAAGACTAATCACATGATCTATGAAACATTTAGAATGATTGAAGGAAGAAAAACATCAAGCAAGATGGAATGCATTAGTAACAAAAAACCCAGGATCCTTTTAGCAAGATACCAATGGCCTTTATCAGACTCTGACATCCTAGGTAAAGCTCAGTGGTAGTCTCAGGAAATTGGATAGTTATTATTTGCTGTTTTCAGATGGACGATTCATACAGATTCCCTAATGGGGAGAGAGTCCAGAAATCATCCGGACCCAACCAGCATAGTCCAGTGACGGTACCTGAAGACGAGACTCACTCACAGTCCAGTGATAACGAAGAAGAGGAAAATGATGAGGAAGAGGACAATGTTGACAGTGTCCACCAGACTGCCAGTGATTTCAACCGGGCTAAAGTGGTGACACAACCCAAGGGTATCTCAGAGAGCAGCTCCTCACAGGTAAGTATTTAAAGTTCTTCTGGATCAAGCTTTTGGAGCCTGTATTTCGACAGTGTACCTTCTCTTAGTTTTAATCCAATAACTAATGACAGGATGTCAGTGTTTGGCTCAGCTGGTAGGACCCTGTGACTGTGATCGGAAGGTTGCAGACTCCGATATCGTGGTTGGCAGACTGATGTCACCATTGGGCCCCTGAGTGAGGCCCTTAACCCCCGATTGCTCCAGGGACCGTCTGACCCTGATTTCTTATAAAAGTTCATACTTTAGGGCAAAAGTAGCTGCTAAATATGTGAATCAGAGGTACCCAAACCAGTCGACCGCGGAGTAATTCTCAATCGATCGCAAAGTGCGTCGCAAGCGTCCATGCACTTGCGCCCGCCCATTTTTCAGTGTACATTTAGCTCGCAAACGTGTCAGAAGCCAAAAGATCAAAAACGCACCATTTCCATTCAGAGTGGGAAGAGAAGAGGATTATTTTTTTGTTTACTCACATTCAAAATCGATATGTCTTATATGCAATGTGAGCGTGGCTTTACCGAAGAAGGGCGATTTGGAGCGACATTTCGAAATGATGCACAAAAGCTACGAGACCGAGTTCCCTGCTAAAACAGCCATACGCAGCTGAAAAGCGCGAGAACTGAAAAGCCAGTTAGCATCACAACAGTCAATTGTTACCCAGCTGCCTCTTCCCAGTGCCAGCTTTCCCACTAGGGTAGAGAAATAGATTCATTTACACTATAGAGTAACAGAGTAATAGCTATGGTTCCTTATTTGAACCGGTAGATCTTGGCACACTGGCTACTTGAAAAGTAGATCTTGAGTTAAAATAGGTTGGGTACCTCTGACGTAGATGTACTTGCTCTCTCCCTACAACTGTACAATTGATTTTTTTTACATGTGTAATGTAACATATGACATATGACTCAATGGCAAACTTAATGTTACACTGAAGAATCTGTTTTATGCAGAACGTAGATGGTACTGAATCATCATCAGCATCTTTTTTTGTGGCACAGGAGCAATACAGTGAGATGAGAATCAGCCTGAACCAGAGACCGAACAGCAGTCGTGACTTTGGCTTCCAGACTGACTGGGATTCCACTGGCGTGCATGTGAAAAGCATCCAGCCTGGTAAACCTTATTATACGACCTCGTTATCTGTGAGTGGCTGGCGACTACGATGTCCAGCTAACGAAAGAACTGTGTTCTCGGGATTTTTTTGTCCAAAAATTTTTTGCATGCCTTAGAACTTAGAATTTTCTTTACACATAATTCAGAATATTGTCTTGAATGATGTTGTTTTGGCCTCTCTATGCCAGGATTCATTATGATTTAGCTGTGCTAATATCTTTTTCTCTTCCATGTAAATTTATGGAGAATTGTTCAGCAGCACAGAGTGAACAAAGCTGTGATTTGCAGTTTTGCTTTATATCTACAATCTGCACATATTATTTTTTATAATTAAACAAACACATTATATATGAATATGTAAGTGCACATCAGAATGAACATACCAGTTATCTGTTTATCATAACTGGTGAACTAGCCATACATTGTCACTGACTACGAGTGATTATAGCTAAATCCAAATGCTGCATCACCATGCTCCCAGTGCCGAGAGCATTACTGTTCACAGAAGAAGCTCTCCTTGGAAGTGTTGTTGAAGTGGCCGGTGGTGGCACTCTGATCAGTGACGTGCCCCCCCCAGGCAGCCCTGCAGAAATGTGTCACCTGCAGTTGGGCGATGAGATCCTGACTGTAAGCGGGCAGCCAGTGTCCGACATGAGCTACTTGCAGTGGAAGGGCAACATGGAGAAAGCCCTACAGCAGGGGAGTCTAGTCATCGACATCCGGCGTCATGGCAACAATAGTAAGTCGGCTAACACTGCAGGCCAGTGACACAGATAATGCCATAACTCAGTGTTTCCCAACCCGGTCTTCGGGGACCTGCAGGGAGCTGCGAGGGAGCAAAAACGTGGACCGTCTGCGTGTCCCCAAGGACCGGGTTGGGAAACACTTCCGTAACTGAGTGCTTTTCAACCTTCTTTATCCTAAAGGTCTAAGTCCACTGGGGCTTGGCACACTTGATATTCAGAGCGAGCTCCTCTGCCCTCATAAAACTCAGGCATCCTGACCTGCCCATTTAATAGCTGTTAACTTTAACTTGTTCTGGTCATCCTTATGACATTAACATGAACATCTAGTCTGTGTCACTAACAGTCTTTGGGTTAGGGCTCTTAGTCACGTAGTTTTCTACTAACTAGTTCACAACTACTGCTACATAAATTGACACCGCTTATTGCCCTAAATTTGTTTCGACCACAAAATTACTGCAGATTATGGCACACTTTTTGTTGTACTTAAGGATGTGTGTGATTCAATGTCAAAGTTACAGTTTTATGAAGCTGAATTTGGGTCAAAATAATGTTTCAGGCCTTGCAGTATTGGTAATCCTGGCTGAAAAAGAATGTTTTTGAATGTAGGCAACATGACCAGGAAGACGGTCTGTAACGTGTCCCCATTGTCCAATCGGATCACTGCTGCCTTTCTGTCCTTCACTGGTTTTTTATTATTTTGTATATAACCCTTAATTGTATGATTTTGAACATCTTTTTAATTCAGACTGGGACAGAGACCTGCCTTCTCTGCCATTTAAAAGCCATAAAACCATCAATCTGACCAGTATGGATGCATCACGTATTGATCCTTCAGAAACTTCCATCAAAACTGCAGATGTGAGCAGTAAGCCTATTAATGTAAGTACAGATTTTATAAAGCAACTGGACGTGTTAAAATGTGTTTTTAAATGATGCCATTTTCTGTTTAAATTACTGCAAAAGTTTTTTGGATATACTAGTAAATATTTTCTGAAAGCGATATGTTGCAATTTAAATTACACTGAAATGTTTTATGAATTATTTTTCTGCTGTTGTAATCCTCTCTGTAGGACAAAGCATATAAGGGGTTGAATGGTGGTTTCCGGAATGAGTCACTGACCAAGACAAGCACAGGTAACGTGTAGGAGTCAGCAGACTGATCCTTCAAACTGGCCAGGATGAGAAATTAGAATAGGCTTATATCTAGTTGACAAGTTTCCTGTATTTTTTAGATTCATATCTTGGGCATTTATTTTTTCTTCAGTTTAATTTTTGATGTTTTAATGTATTTTTATTTAAAAAAAAAAACCAAAACATTTTATAAGTATGTAGCAAAGATAAAAAAATAAAACATTTCTGTAAAATGTACATGCTCAATGTAACCAGTATGCAGCATCTGATTTCTTTTCTGTTTGTGTTTCCTTGGGCAGAATTCGATCCCATCTCTGTGAAAAACTCAAAAAGGAGATCTGAGTTTTTTGAGAATCAAGGTAATATTGTGGGTGCAGTGAGCTACTATCCCCTTTTACTCTACATCTCCATTTTGGACTTTGCATTCTAGGTCTAATACTCCACTTGAACTTTCCTCCTTTTGTCCATTCTAATGATTCTGTCCTCAGCATCGTGGGCCTACCTTTGCGGTAAATGTGCTTCTGTTCCACTTTGTGTCCTGAAGTGGTGACACTGTAATCCCTTTCACAATTAAACACACAGCCTTGCTATTTACCTGCGGAAGACAGGGGTGCCTGGTGCTGGTTCTTGAGTGACGCAGGTGGTGTTTAGTTCATTTCTTAATATCCACATTGACGTAATAGTTCCGGTAGCAGGTTACCTTGCTTAGTGCCTTCAGCTACTAGTCAGGAGGTGATTAAATGTCAGCTCTGAAACCTGCAGATCTGCTGACAAGTATAACAGCATGACACCACTGACCAAAAGTGACTTTGAAGTGTGATTCAGACATTGCTGATGTAATGCACAAGAGTAAAGTGTTTCACCATGTAAAAAAGGTCACTAATCATAATTCTTTTAATAGCTTTTTAAATTCGCCACTTTCTAACTTGCACTGTGACAGCATGTTATGATTGTTTCTCTCTAATTAAAGATCATATCCATGTGTATTTGTAGGTATACAGTATTGTGCAAAAGTCTTTGGAAGTCTTTATTGACTAGCTAAGCATTGTATACTAGGAGCAACAAATAATATAGTTATATTGGATAGTTACTGCAAATATTTGGGTGACTTTAGGAGAGGTTTTGAAATGGCTAAAGCCAGAACAGTTTGACAGACATAATATCAACATGAAGATCATTTAAGCTGAAGGGTTTTTGACTGGCTAAGACTTTTGCCCAAGACTGTACATTCATCCATCTCCAGACTCCAGACAACACAGAGCCATGGATAAATGGATGGTTTTAATTATAAAATTAAATATGAATTATTTTGAGCAATTCTTCATTTACAGCTTCAGAAATTTAATAGCTGGATTAGACCTGGATTTTAACTATATTCATTCTAGAGAAAACTAAGATGACGTGCTATAGAAACAGACTAACGGGCTCCTTCTTTGCAGGTGGTGCGGAATCTGCAATATCAGATGTAAGTAATCACTTATCTTGCTGTGCCTTTGAGCATTACGGGTATATGACCTTAACACAACCCACTGTTTGGTTTGCATTTTCACGCTGGGAGAAGAGAGATCATCTCTCATCCTCACTTAAGTGTTTAATTGTCATGTTCTGATTTTGTATAACAATAAAAAGACTTCATTTTCATTGAATTGCTGAGACTCTGTTCGCTCTGTTTTAAGTAATTGAGGGTATTTATTGTAAGCTAGTGATCAATTTTATCGTCTTGGATACAAAAACTTGGGACTTTTCTAGGGTTCATTACCCACAAAAGGTCATTAAAGTGCAGTATTCTATTCTATTTAGTTTTGAAAATAAACCAGATATGGTTCACCCTCAGGTTTAGTGGTTAGAAGATCACCATTGTGACATCATAGTGTACTTGGGTAATGTTCAAAAATAGGGTGGCAGGATGCCTGAGCTGCACGTGGCATAACCTCGGGCAGTAACTGTCCTGACCAGCCTGCTGCGTTAAACCAAAGTATGACTCCTTGTTTCTTTGATCTCATTAGCTGCCGGTTCCCCCTCCTCGGATCTCCTCCAACCGCTGGACCTGGAACCTCGAGGAGGAACAGCAGAGGCAGGAAAAATGGCAGAGAGAGCAGGAGCGCCAGCTACAGGTCAGATGGGTGCCAGTCCAAGGGCCTCGAACCTGTCCTGCAGATACTCCCTGCAGATACTCCCTGCCCTGCAGATACTCCCTGCAGATACTCCCTGCAGATACTCCCTGCAGATACTCCCTGCAGATACTCCCTGCCCTGCAGATACTCCCTGCAGATACTCCCTGTCCTGCAGATACTCCCTGTCCAGCAGATACTCCCTGTCCAGCAGATACTCCCTGCCCTGCAGATACTCCCTGTCCTGCAGACACTCCCTGTCCTGCAGATACTCCCTGTCCTGCAGATACTCCCTGTCCTGCAGATACTCCCTGTCCTGCAGATACTCCCTGCAGATACTCCCTGCCCTGCAGATACTCCCTGCCCTGCAGATACTCCCTGCCCTGCACATTTCATTAGCCCCATTTCTTTTTTCTAATCAGTGCTTCATTGACAATTTCATAAATGAATATCAATCTATTAAATTGTCCTGTTTATTTCAGTAACTATTTGGACACTCAGATTTGGACACAAAGCTTTGAATTGACCAAATGTTTAACAAAGTTTAATAAATGATGGCTTTTTCTGCTTTCATTATACATCATAAAGATGAGAGTGGCAACTGGATGATGAAAACCAGAAACATAACATCATAAGTCATTAATCGTGCACCTGGTCCCCCCCCCCCCCCCCGTCTCTATGTAGGAAAAATATAAGCAAGACAAGAAGATGCTTCAGGAAGAGTGGCAGCGTGCCCAGTTGGAAGCAGTGAAAACAGACTCTCCATATTACACAGAGGTGAGGCTGCTATACTGTAATTCCTGCAGATCTGGTGCGAAATCAACAGTAAGGCATCCAGCCTTTCTATGACTGTTTATCCTGGTTAGGGCTGCACTGCAGACCATCCTGTGTAGCATATGGCATAAGGCCAGGGAACACATACTGTACACACTCACGCATGCAGTCACGCACTACAAACACATACTGTACACACTCACGCATGCAGTCACGCACTACAAACACATACTGTACACACTCACGCATGCAGTCACGCACTACA